ACTGTCGAATGGAAGGGAAGACTAGGCAGGACAGAATCAAACAATCAGAATAGTAGGAGCTGTAGGAACTGCCTGCCTACCCTCGTGCCGTTGAACAACGGACTTCAAGAGAAGCTTAGCTGTAGTTGATTTATCAAACATTGCATGTAGGAATAACGGAGATAGGAGTAGAGATGAGCCGAACAGCAGACATCACTCTGAGAGTGATTCCTCACGGTCCTCAAGTATCGGATTCGCGTTCAAATTTGCTTCCCGCCTCTCCTTTATATAGGTTCACCTAAACATCAGTATATGTTACAGTAGCTGTAATATATAACAGTATTTAAGGTTGCCCTTATAACGGGGAGGAGGGAAGTCATTTCGAACGCGAATTCGATGCGTGAGGATCGTGATAATTCTCACTTCAGGAGATATGTGCTTTCCGCCTCACCTGTGTTCCCTAGTTCCGTTCTTTCTGTATACCATGCCTAATAAATCTACTTCATTTAACCCTTTCTTAAAGTCCAAAGTTCAAGGGCTTGAGGGTAGGCAGGCAGACTCTACAGTAGCTGTTGGCCTGTATAGTGATCACTTTGGTATTTACCTCGTTCTCATGTAGCACCTCAAGTATTCCCATTAGTTTGAGGAAAATATGAAGTTGGAATGAAAACATGTATTCTAAGGCAAAGTAAGGGGCGAGGTCATTACTTGGTCAAAAGATTAACCAGCATTGTCTTCAGCTACCAGATACACAAAGTATTGCAATTGTTTGCGTGAGCTGGCCCTCGAAGAAAAGCCAAGCCCAAAACTTTTCACCTTCTCCTTCATGTTTGCGTAAACAGCTGTACTTAAGCATTCTCTGGCCAATGTTATGCGGATGAAAGCGGAAAATAAAACCGATTAGTTAACTATTTTAGTAATTTCTCATGCACATAACAAGCCTTTACGGCGAGAATGAAGAGCGTATAGGTTAGGTGGGATAGCGTACGACTCGTTTATAGCAGAATGGATAGGAACGCCGTGTGCGCTTGACATTTTCTTCGTGCCCGTACCACACATATGAGCTATTATCAAGTAAATTGGCACCACTATTAACCATCAGGAAGTGTCCGTCTGAAATTACTTTTGCAGTGCGCGTATAAAGATGTCGACAATGGCGTTGCACTGAACCCTCCTACACCTCAGATTTCGTCTCGCCTTCAACGCAACTGTTTCAGGCCCGTGTCCTTATCTCTCTTTCTCTGGACACATTTGATGGTCAACAGAAGTGTACTTCCCGAATTCTGCCTTAAAATAAATGTAACACCATATCCAGTTGGCTTTACAGAGAAGCCGAACTGCAACCATCACTCTCATAATGATGACCGGTGTAGCGTTCCGAGTCTTTTTATAGAATGGAAGAAAGCATAATTGAGGGTGAATACATGTATTCGGAAGACGACAGGGCAAATGGGGCCTGAGCGTGGCCCGAAGGCCAGTCCACGAATACAAGAACC